TTCCAACACGGCGTAAGGTGGCAGGTTGGAGGGGATAGCGGATGCGGGGGCAGCGGCCGAGTATGCTTGCTGGAACCAGCACTTAGCAAAGGCGGAAAGTAATACGACAGTGAGGAGAGGAGGTGGTGCAGGACAATGCTACAGGAAGTGTATACGCACCTCAGGCTATGAGCTTTGGGGGTGAGGTCTGCGGCTAAAGGAAGCTTTCCCTTACTAAGATATTTAACCGCGCGGAACCAGCCATTTTCGCAAGGTTGCCCCAACTGAACCAGCCAGATAACCAACAAGAGGATAATATCCCGGCGCTCTGGAAGGCAAAGACACCTATTCTTGTCCTTGTCTTTGAATTCTTCCGATTGATTTTCAACGGCTGCTACGACTGTTAGTGCATATTCTCAGGCACGCAGGCGCAGCATACATACCCAGCTGTTGACGATCTCCTGGCTCCTGCGACCTCGAAATCCATCTGCCTTGGGATCAACTCTGCAAACTCCTTCTAACGCTTGAGAGATCTAACCACGAGTTGTCCTAACACCCCCGACAATAACAGCATAATAAGCAACCTCCGCCATGGCTTCACAATCAGCCACAGAATCGTACTCAAACCCTCTTAAGAAGTTCAAGTACGTCCCTTGTGTTCACCACGCGCAATCTAAAACCTACATCCCTTGTTGATTCAAGAAACGCCATACTGATTGGGTCATTTTAGATTGGTTTTCCTTGGAGAACAAAGTGGTGGGTAAAACCGTTGTCAATCCGCGACAGGTTTCAATTTACTGACACCTGGTTTAAATTCTCGGTATAACGGACGCAGTTGGAAAGACCTCCCTGATCACCAGATTCATGTACGATTCATTCGACAATATGTATCAGGCTACAATTGGCATCGACTTCCTGTCAAAAGTAGGATCACAGCCTTCCTCCAATAGACCGCCACGGTTACCGTTTATTATGGGAGTGAGCCGCGACTGACTCTCCTGTGGACTGTAGACAATGTACCTTGAAGACCGAACGGTCCGTCTCCAGCTATGGGATACTGCCGGCCAAGAGCGATTCCGCTCTTTAATCCCCTCCTACATCCGCGATTCGAGCGTAGCAGTCGTCGTCTACGACATCTCGAACGCCAAATCATTCCAAAACACACGCAAATGGGTCGACGATGTGCGCGGCGAACGGGGTAATGACGTGATCATCGTACTTGTGGGGAACAAGACCGATCTGAACGATAGGCGAGAAGTAACGACAGCGCAGGGGGAGGAGGAGGCTAAGAAGCATGGACTCATGTTCATCGAGACGAGCGCGAAGGTTGGGCACAATGTCAAGCAGCTATTTCGAAGGATAGCTCAGGCTCTGCCGGGCATGGACGATGAGTCGGGGAGAGGTACTAACCAAAGTGCGTGTTTTTTTTTTTTTTTTTTTTTTTTTTTTGGTTTTGGTTATGTTGCTCATTCGTTACCCTCTTGGTAAAACCGTTTAATGGGGAACTATTTACTAACTCATTCTTCTGTGAAGTGATTGATGTTAATATCAACCCTACACAGCCTGTGAGCAACGATGGGATGCGCATGCTAAGAGGAAATTCCTGGTCGACTCCATGTTAAGGATCTGCGCCTTTTCAATTCTATGACATTTACTTACTCTACGTATCATTGTTGTAATGTCTTCTCTCTTCTCATGCTCTCATTTCTATATATATTTTT